GACAGGTGTGAAAATAAGTGTATTATATCCTTACTGTCGGCCACTTACGCTTCTTTTAATGAGCGCTCTCTGTTAAGGGATCTTCTTTCTCAAACGAGTGTTTATACCTGAAGTTATTCAATTCAAAGTGCCAGAGGAGTGTTTTGTGTAAAAAGAAAGAACTCAGGTACTGCAGAGGCCTGTGTGTTCACACACTGTGTAATACAAAGCAATGAAAAGGTGGCAATCAAGATCAGCATGTGTGCGTTCAAAATCCACTTTATACCTGCACTTCACTTCTGTTTGTGACTCCCTTTCAAAGATAAAGCTGATAGCAGTTTTACATCTCTAAATGAAGATTTGCTTTGGAAAAAATCTCAGTTGAAAAATTCAAGTGGGATTCAAGGGTTTAGAAAAAAAACTGGAGGGTATATATATTTTTGTTTCTTTTCTGATTTAGTTTTTTTACACAGTGAAATTTTCAGAGGTTTTATCCTACTTTGGTGTGTTGGCATAATCTTTATCTACTCTTAAGGTATATAAAGTCTTACACAAATCAGTGTAACTCTGTAGTTACCGTTTAGAGCAGTTTTTAAATTCAAGGTATTCTAATCATGGAATTAATACACGTATTATTTGCACTGACTAACCCTGAATATAAGATGTCCTTTTTTTTTTTTATTGCAGGCGAAGCAAAATGAAAGCAGACAGGTACTGCAAGTGAAGAATGTGGATTGCTGTCATGCCTTTGTAAATGAATGCATTTTATAGATTTGATCATATGACATGGGATTATGACTGTGAGTGTTTTATGTATTTTGAATAAACTTTTAATGTTTATTTTGTTTTGTGTCCTTTTTTACAGCCATGTTCATCTTTGTGAGATTCTTTGCTTTGCTCTGGAGTAAAAATTGTGTCTAATGTTTGTGGAATGCTTTTGCAACCTTTGATAGGAATCAAATGGCCTGTATAGTTGTATTTAATATGTGAACTATGAAGATTATTTAGTGGGAAATTAACTATAGGGCAGCAATACCTAATTCGTTAATCCATAACTTAGTTTGACAGTACTCTGTGTGCTTCAGTATTTGCAATGATTTTATCCAACAAGGTTACATGAATGCAACTCAAAAGAGGAAGTGAATTCACTTACACAACTCAGCATGTGTTTTACCCTCCACTGCAGGCATTTATCCTTTTGGCCTATTGATGCATTACTAAATGGACACACTGGGCACATGCCCAAGGATTATGGGGGCATAGATATTACACATTTTCACGTGCAAAATATTGGTGTGAATGAAACCTAGTCTAGAATTAGTTATAAAATGAATACAAACATTTCTGAAATGTATCCTCGCTTGTTGAGTTAGCCACAACCTAATTGTTATCCATAGTCCCTACCTGTAGTCAGAATTATAAACAACCTTGAGAAAAAAAACTGTCAGCATTACAAAGATGAAAAGAAAGCAAAATAACAGACATATAAAACAGAAACCATAGAAGGATGAAATCAATGGTGACAAAAGTGATTATCAATGAAACATCTTTTAAACTGTGTATAAAAGCTGTAGATGGTCTGCTGTCTAATTTTTATATGACATATCATTTGTAATATTTCAGCG